AGACATCGGTTGGTGTAAGACATGAAAAAAAAAATTATCAAGGATTCATGAGGGTGGGAGGGAAAAGAAGGAGGAGCTGATACCAAGGGCTCAAGTGGAAACAAAATGTGCTTGACACCATGGATGGATGGATGGATGGTGCTAAGAGCTGTCAGAGCCCTTAATAAAATGATTTTTTTTAAAAAGAAGCAGGGATGTGGCAAACCCCGATGCCCTCGCTAATGTTGTGCTGTTGGGTATTTCCCGAGAGCCAGGTGCTGTGTTGAGACCTCGTGTGTGTGTGTGTGTGTGTGTGTGTGTGTGTGTGTGTTGTGCTGTTATTTCCCGAAAGCCAGGTGCTGTGTTGAGACCTCATGTGTGTGTGTGTGTGCTGTGCTATGTCACTGGCCAAGTGAGGAGACACACACAGACTCCAAAAAGAGGCAGGGACGGCTCTGGAGAGGAGGGGTCATTCTTGCTGACCGGGCTAGTGCACAGCAGAGAGGGCAGGCGGCTTCGAGTAGGACCTCAGAATCAGTGGTCTAGCTACTGATGCAGGGCAAACTGCCCCAGACCCAGAGACTTAAAAGAACACAGGCTCGTTTCCTGACAGCTGCTGTGAGCCAGCCGTCTAGGCTTGGCTGCCTGGAATTTTCTGCCCCGGGTGTCACAGGACCGGATTCAAAGTGTCAGGAGGGGTGCCCTCTCTGATCTCCTCTCTGGCTGGGAGTCCTCGTCCAAGCTCCTCAGTCTGGGTGCATGCGATGCGATGATTGAATGTGAAAGAAGATGGATAACAAGTGAAACATTCAAAACAGCCCATTGCTGGGGAGCCAATTCCTGCTTATTGTCAGCCCACGGGGAGCCGTCGGGACTGACCCTTAGGGTTTCCAAGGCTCTGGGCTTTCGTGAAGTGGCTGCCACGGCTTTCTGGCCCCTGGAGTGGCTGCTGGGTCTGCACCCCCACCTTTCACATTGCAGAGCTGTGCTATCAGGCCGCCTTTTAAACGAACAAGTCAACGTGAATAGAATCCCGCTGCTTCCCTGAAGACGGCAAGAGGAACAGTCCGGAGCTATTGACTGATTATCTGATGGGGGGGGTCAGGGGGTGGGGTGGAGCTTCCCCTTTACTGTGTTGTTCAGTAATGTTCGCATGTTGCTTAACTTTGTCATCGGGCATATTTGTCGTGGGGGAAATCATAGAAGACACCACATGTAAAATCATAAGGGATGTTACAAAATTCCCACACGGACTTTGGATTGGCTTGTTCTTTCCTCTGCCTGCCTCCCAAAACGTCACTGTCGCTCACGTCCTTGCTCGGCCCGAGGCCTGCAAGTCACCTGGCCTCCTCCTTGTGGCTTTGCCTCCACACCTGTTCCCCCACCACCACCACCAGCCCCTGCGCCTAAACCCCTTCATTCTCTTTCCCTCACCCCCAAACCCGGGCAGGGGCCTCAAGCCGGGCCTCCACACACACATGCTCCACTCCGGGCCTCTCAGCACCTTTGGCATTCAGAGGGTTTTATTTCGACCCGTCTTCGTCCTCGCCGATTCTCTCCCCTTCGCTTGATGGCTGGTCTGCCTTGGTACCTGCCAGTGGCTTTGGGAGGGCTTCACCCCCGTGGACACTAACTTCACCAAATTCCAAATACACCGACTGACTTGCGCGTTCCCTTCCGTAACTGATTCCCACTGCAGTGAAGGCACTTTCCAGAGGCTGACCAGCGTGGCCAGAGGCTGGTGTGCAGATTGGGAAGTGGGCAGATCTTTCCAGAAGGCTTTTCTGTTCACAAGGTAGCTTCCATAAGAACTGTCCTCGCGGGGATGCTCACAAGAGACACTCGGCCGTTGGGGTCCCCGAGCCCCCAACATCAAGCTCTGTGTGGTAATCATATCCACGGATCCAGTGGCGCAAATGGGGGCAATACGATCAAAAGACGTCTTAGCTGTGAGCAAACACCTTGAGAGAATGGGTCCCTGGACTTGGGGGCTGAGAGCCGCAGTCTCGGGGGACAGCTAAGTCAACCAGCAAAGCGTAGTTCACAAAAAGGAAGTAAGTTCTGCATCCTGCCGGGGTGAGCAGGGACTGCTCAGGTGCTTGGCGTGGCCATCTGAGGTGCAGCGACAGATTAGTATAACATCAAAGAGTCCAAGTAAGGGCTCGTCCAAAGGGCTAATGAATCATGCAAACTGCAGCCTCCACTACCCTGAGACAGAAGAACTATAGGAGTGGGTACCAAACAACAACAAAAAACAACCCCAGAATTTCCTTTATCACAGCTATGTATTTAAATTTTTTTTTTTTTTTACAAAACAACCATATCACCTTCAAAGGACTCTCCATGACACTTAATGCATTTGTCAAATCTGCAATTCTGTTCTTGGAAACATTTCTCAAACTCATCTGTTTGGATGGCTGACAGCACCTCCCTCATTTTCTTCCTCACCTCTTCTGCATTATCAAATCGCTGTCCTTTCATGTCCCTCTTCATTCACAGACACAAAAAGAAGTCGCACTGAGTGAGGTCAGGTGAGTAAAGTGTGTGGGGCAAGAGAGGCATGCTGGTTTTTGCCCAAAACTGGTGCACTGAGATGGCAGTCTGAGCAGGTGCATTGTCGTGGTGGCAAAACCAGTCTCCCGTCTGCCACAAATTAGGCCTTTTTTTGTGGCACACTCTTATGCAATCTTTTCAGAACCTCTAAATAGAAAGCTTGATTAACAGTCTGATCTGGTGGAACAAACTCCAAATGCACTACAAGTCAACTTTTTCATCTGTTCGGGACGTCGATGGACATCCAGAACAAGGTTTGTCATCAATCGACATTTCACCTTTTTTGGAACAAGAAAATCACTCATCAATTTCCCCCCGTATCGCTGTCCTTGTAAGCTGTGCTGTGTTCAACATGCCAACGGTTTCTGCAGCATTTTTTCTGAGCAGGAAAAAAAAATCCATATCTGCACGTTATTCTCGTAAATCAGCCATCCCAAAAACCAGGGTTCCAGCGAAACTGCTTTGACGAAAAAATTCACTGTGACCAGAGAGAACCTTCCCAGGTGACACCACTAGGTGCACTAATTCAAAGTGAGTTGCTCCATGCTCACCTAGCGGGGGAAAAC